CGGGGCGGGGCGGATCTCCTCCCCGCCTCAGCGGGACCAAGGGCAAAACCGCAGCCAACACCAAAGCCAGCGGGCATGGAGCGTGTCCAGTGAATGTGCTGCTTCCTCAGATGTCTTGGAGGTACCGAAAACAGTTGCATGTTCCAGTCGAAGCTGAGAAGGGACGTGCCACGTGCGAACGATTAGCCTGATTTTCTCTTACGAAGCAAGAGGTAATGGAGAACAATCTCTGCAAGTCTCCAAACAGCTAAGCTGCGTTAAGTGCAAGCTTGCAAACTGCGCCATGGATAAGGGTTAAAACGTTTTGGCACTGAACCTTGTCAGCAGAGCTCTTCAGCATCCTGGCTATTCTAAATTTTGAAAAGTAAACTAAATTCACCAACATATTGTCTTTATTTGCCTGTTCTGTTTAAAGGGTTTTGCTGTTTCCTTGGTATTAGGAATTGAAAAGTTACACTGATTTCTAATATCCCTTCTTTGTATTCTTGAAAGAAAGAATTTTGTTAATATGGGCCCTGTCACACACAGAGATATCAGGAGTGTACAAGTAATCTAGAAGAAGATTAGCTGAAATAGTTGAAAGCCTACATTATACTCTGCTGCTTTTGTTTAAATTGATTTCTAAGTAATATATGCTTTCAAATACTCAGCACATCATTTATGGTTTTCAAATTCAGGAGAATATCTTGTCTTGAGAGCTGATTATCCCGGTATTGCACAGTTATGTCAACTTGGTTATACAGAGTAACACAATTTGGATATAGGAAAACATCTTTACCACAGAAAATATTTGTTAACAAGATGATGCTGTTAGAAAACATGATTCACATTCATGGTTCAAATGTTGTCTTACGGAACTTAGTCACAGATCAGATGTGTGCCAGCATGGCAACCATCCTAAAGGTTAGCCAACAGAAAGTCCTGTTTGCAGAAAACCACCATTTTTACCACATATTAATTTTGGTTCCTCTTTCCCTCCAAATTTCAGAAATTTAAGGAATTACCGAAATCAGAGTGCAACAAGACCAAATAGATGAAAAAAAACATACATTAATCTCTTTGGAATCATCTTCATCTATCCTACTGGGCTTCATTTTAGTGTAGTCCACCGGCAAGTCCCAGCAGTCACCCTCGTTCAGCTGGTAACACCGGTTATTCATCACAGCTTGCCGTTGCGGGGACATTGGCTCCAGTGGTGTCAAAATGGTACAGCAACCATCTCGCTGCCTCTGCTTGTTCATGCTCAGATCCAACGTCCCATTTTCATCGACTTCCATATCAGGATTCTGTCAAAAATAAGAAAAATAATGTTAATTCAGCTTCACACTAGCAAACTGTTACCTCTTCTTCAATCTCGATTGCCTAGCAGAATGATAAAAAGCTGTTCCATTCCTGTATAGATTGTAAGCATTGAGCCCCCTCCCACACATAGCATGATGCTGTTACACAACATTAATGCTGTTAAAGTAGATTTCTTCCTGAATGGCTAATCTGATGTTTGGGGGAAGAGGGGAGAGTCTTCATTACCCCTCCTGCCACCCAGCAGGCAGGTACAAAATTTGGAATTAAAAGGAGAAATCTCTAAAGGCATTTTCTCATTGTTGTTTTTATGTTCTTGATTTATTCTCTGACAGGTGAGTATCTATGAGTTAACATCTGCATAATTCTTGTTTCCAGTCCTGACACCTGTCTGGGTGATTAGAGTAACCAAAACCAGCTAGCATCAAATAATCTTTATTTATTTATTTAGCATTAACAGTCAGTGCTTGAACAGATAATGTCAGAAAATTAAACAGGGAGGTAGGGTACCAAAGCAAGTCCTTTTGGACTATATTTGCCAATGAGGAAACACATTCACATTTCACAGTTCCTTCCCTGCAGATGTAAATGTATTAACATTTGATATTTCTATCTTTATAATCAACAAATTTAGGTAGCAGAATAGTTGCAGTAACAGCTGTGCCAATTTCTGTGGCGACTGACGTGAAAAATATGGTGAGTATGGGCTCTGACTATTTCTTTTATAGAAACAAGTAAGGGTTGTCTGTTAGATAAGGAGAAATAAGAGTATTTCAAAATTAAGACAATTAAAAAACAATGAGGACAGACAAAATAAAAATGCCCACAGAAAATCCGTCACCTGTTCAAAAATGAAATGCTCCATGAGGAATTTGGTTTCAAAACAAATGTGAATGTGACTGACTCCCTGTATGGCGACTTTCTCTCCTCTTGAGTTACAATAGAATTGCAGGAAAAGCACTATGAATGTGAATCTCTCTTTCTGAATTACTGCCTTTTGCCAGAGCGTATATCTAATAGCTGCTATCCTGCTAATTTAATTTAGAAAACACTTGTTTGTCTTCTCAGATTCATTCCTTCAGTCTTAATACATGGTAATGCATTAGGAAAGAGGCCCTTTCTGGTTTTGCAACAGAGGATTTTTAGCATTTCATTCCAAATTTTCCATCGTGCTGATACAGAGAACAACTGCATTTATTTACATGCCAGAAAGAGATTTCCCTCTTGAACAGTATTAAATAAATTAATATAAAAAGCAGCATTTGAAAACAGTGTCACCAGCCATTCTGGCTTAATTAGTGATTATTACTAATACCTACTGGTACGAGTTTAAGTTTGTTACAAATGATCAAAGGGCTTTCCCTGGCGAGGGGAAGAAAACCTTTGTCTATATGTAGAAGAGCAGAACATGTCTGCCAGCTCAAAAGCTCTCTAGAAGCACAATAAAAACGTTTCCTCCGTGCTGCATCTGCCTGCTCGGCCATCTAGTGGTCTCCTATCGTAGCACCGTACTGTTTGCTGCTGCTGCTGCATGTTAAATACTCATTTCTTAACAGCTATCAGAGTCAAAATTCAAAGTTTCTAATGAAAACAAAACCACGTTAAATCTTGAACCACTGTTAATAGTGCACTGCTCTTCTTAATATATACAGCTTAACAGCAAAAGCTATTATTTACACGTCTGTAGCCATTTCATATATACACTGAGGTTCTATGAATATACAGAATGTTAATGACCCTGCACTACTGTTAAGCATATTTAAAGTCACCTGTACTGGAGGATTTGTTCATTTCAAATGTATTATGCAGTTACTTAACCCTGATATCACAAGCAAGCAAGAAATCATAATATACAAGTAGCATACATTTATTTGTACTAGATCTTACAAACTTAGGTCCCATTTGTGACTTTCACATGAAAATTCAGCATTAAATCTTAATCCTTTCACAGAATGTGTGAATCAGACTGTGTTTAGCAAAAAGAATCAGTACTGCAATTAATAACACCTGAGCAATCCAAACATCTTTTATAATTATAGATCTCGCTAGTGAGAGAGAAATTTTTTAAAAAAGGAGTACATGCTATCAGTATCATCAGTTTATGTATCAATCAGGATTTCCCAAGATATTTGTGAGCAATCTGCATCCTTTTTTTCTTTTTTTTTTTTCTCCTTGCTTTAGCACAGCCACCAGATTACACGGTGCGGGGGGGAGAGGGGAGGGGGAAGGCAAGATGTGCTAAAGCTATCCTTCCATCAGGGCCACAGAGCAAGTGCAGTTAAAAAAAAATAAAACATCTTCACGGAGAAACAGAATTACTGATTTTTTTTACCCTGGCACAGAGATCCTGAGGCTTAGTGGAGAGGTTCTGAGGCATCTCCCTGCAGCGAGTGGAGAGGTTCAGAATAGCAGTAGCAGCCATGTGCGCTGCCTCCATGTCATGGGTATAGTCAAAGCTGCTCTTGCTGCAGGTACTGCTGGCACTGCTGCCGCCACCACAACTCATATTGCTGCTGCTGCTGGGGGCATAACTGCTCGTTGTGCTGCTGGTTGGACTTGAGTTCTTACAGTAGCGTTTAGCTGTGGGAAGAAACATGACAGGGATGACTCAAAAGAAGGAGCATTCTGCATAAGCGAAGAGAAAAAAAAACACAACAAAAAACTGCTGGAGGTGAAATTCATAATGAGCAACAGTAACCAATGCCAAAAGGGGAAAAAAAAAAAGCCCGCAATAAGAATGATGGCTGTATTTCTTGATTTCTGTCTGTGACTTTTATATGCTACATATGTGAGTTTGTATGAAATAACCTCCTGTAAAAATCTGCATGACGTGGTCATGAATCATTCTGACAAACAGGCTGGGTTTGGAAAATGATAAAAACACATAAACACTGCTTTTACCCCACATATATAGTCAGACAGAAGGTAGGATCTGCTCAGCTCATTCATTTTTATTAATGAGGGGCAACATGACACTATGGGATATTTACCTATTTACGTAAGCAAACTTTTTAAGGTCTAGAATCCCCAGAGCTGCTGGAGATCAGCAGCCCACTGGTCTCTGGGCCATGATGCTGCCCAAATCCTCAGACACCCCCACTTCCTAAAAAAGCTTTTTCTTTCTACATCACAGGCAAATATTACAACACTGGCCATCAGAAAGGAGAGGAACATGGTGGAACAAGAAAGGTGGTGGTCACACATGCATTTTACCACAGCTTGCCCAGAGGCAAAAGCATATAAACAGAAACAGATCTAAGTGAAACATCCCCACCTTCAAACAACTTGAGCACCTACAACCCTTCATAAAAACAACAAGGCCCAAAGACTTTCCTGCTTACATTGAGGAGAGCAGCGCTCAGCCGTGCTCCCACCGACAGAAGCCATCAGAGGAGACTGAAGGAACCCACCATGCTCCCATCCAGCCCATCTAAATGCGACACAGCGCTGGTACTGCTTTTAAGAAACACCCCTGGCAGCCAAAGGTACAACAGGAGTAATGGAGAACAGCCCTATTAGCCTGCTTATTTCTCCAATGCTCTGCCCAAATAAACTGCTGTGGAAGAAAAGTGTGACCTCGTCTCCTGGATCTAAAAGTTCATGTATTTTCATAAAAAAATAAAAGCCAAGGTCAGAGGATACATACATGTATATTAAAGTGACTGCTTTCGCTCAAGGTGGAAATGTATACTGCAGAGATCATACCTTATGGCACAGTATAACAATAACCAACTAGCATGCTGATTAGAGAGCTATACAAAAAAAGGTCAGGCCCTAGCTACAGCTCTTCTGTGATGGGCTCGATTTAAATGCCAGACTCTTCAGGTGTATTTGTCTGAGCAGACATACATATAATAGTCTGCTCCCACGAGCACAGCCCATTTGTGAACCCCAGGCTGCTTTGGTAGGCAGGAAGGGTTCAAAAGAAGAATCTGAAAGCAGAATATCTCTGCTAGAGCTTATGTTATCCTCCTTTCTCTAAAAAAATTAAAAAAGAAAAAAAAGCATTATTTTTGCTGTAAAGAAAATACTGTTTCACTTAATTCATAACAGATGGAGTTTTCTCAGGAAAGCCACATAATGCACAGGGTGTGATTTTTTTTTTTTTAAGTGAGGTGAATGCTAAACATTCATCACGTTTGTTTTGAACACATAGTAGCACTATTTTAGCAGGGTATCCACTAAATAAATCTGTGAACTATTTCTTAAGAGTTTTGTTATTAATATAGTAGTCAGTGGTGGTCATTAAAAATTCAGCATTTATCCATTGGTACTTTGTAACAGTATCCAAGACACACACGAATTTTCCTGTACTTAAGTTAGGAAATAATGGAATAATTCAGTTTCTACTGTGTTAACACAGCAAGCACCCTATACCACTGAACTTCTCAAATTAGAAATATCTTTCAAAATTCACATGAATAAATAAGACTTCTATCCCTTGCAAAAAAAAGTTAGTCTTGTTATAGCAGGTCACATTTAGACAGACGTAAGAGACATACTATAAGGGAAATTATATATATATATGTATGAGAATGTATGCTTAAGAAAGGGAGTGAAAGAGGTAGCTTTATACATAGGACTAACCACCAGAAATTCATGCAGGCTCTGATATGGACTCCTCTGTGGCCTTGGTCAAACTACATTATCCCTCAAATTAATTTCCCCTATAAATAGAAAGTTGCTTCTAAAATTTAGTTGTGTTGTGATTCACTTGCAAAACACGTTGAAGATGTAAAGTGCTATAAGTATACTACATAATTATGAGCTTTTAGATTACCAGTAACTTAAGGAAAACTTGCTTAGAAATGGCCATGGTTATTTTAATTTTACTGTAGCTGTACATTTTAAGGTGACACCCAGACTCTCATATTAGCTTTTCAGGAGAAACAAAGATCATTGATTTATAATGAAATAAATCAAGTTGATCTCTAGTGAAGGGAAAGCTGCATTGTTTCAATACGAGATAATTCTGCTTGATACATCGCCCAACCCTGTGGCACCAGGTTTTGGAAGCTTTGCAGTCCACCTATGCTTCGTGATCCAGAGCATAACCAAACATGGCAAACAATTTTCCCATAAAATAACAGACACAGGGCTGGCTAACCAGCTGCATACCCGAACTGGCCTCCCGTTAGACATGCCCAGGGGCTGATTGCAAAGAACCTCTCAGAAGCTACAGGCTCCTCTTGCTAATTAACAACAGAGGAGTGAGAGAGATCTCAACAACATAAAGGACTAAAGGAAGACACCTGGAATGGAATTAAATTCTGCCCAGGCACCCTCATCGCTAGTAAAGTACTGAATGTGCTACCTAAGTTAATTACAGTTTCAACACTTTTTCTGACATGCACACTAAGAGATTCATCTCACCTAACTTCAGATATCTGACCTAGTCATTACAGGCTTCCTATACAAGCAATAGAAAAAAAAATAGGAATTTTCAGGCACTGATTCACCTGGCCAGCTTTAGATAAGTACTTCAGGAGGAGATGAGTTGACTCAGACAAATCTCCTTGGATCTGAAAAGGGTGATGAGCTCAGATGTATGTGCTGTATAGTCAGATGAATCCCACTCCTAACATTTTCTCACTTTTCTGACAGAAGGACACAGGACTATCAGTGGCATGAGAGGAGCTCCTGCCATCACCTGAGCAACTGATAGAGTTGCTGTGCCCTGCTATGTCCAGCTGTTCTTATCTCTACTGCTGTATACCATGAGCCCAACATCCAATACACTATGAAACTGTTTTCAGAGGAAAAACAAACCCACAAACACAACATTTCTCAAGAATTATCAGAGCATCCTACCCCACAATACAAAGTATCCATTTTCTGCTTGGTTTCTATCAAAGCGTACTGGAAAAAAAAATCAAGACAAAAATCCAAAGGAGCTAATTATGCTCATGTCATTCACAACCATGCACTTATTGAATATATAATCCATTTCTCTGATAAAAACCACAGTGCTAGCTTACAGGTAAAAAAGGATTGAGACATGAAGTTACTGCTCAGTCAGTTGAGCATAGTGCTAACAACACTAAGGTCGCGGGTTCAATTCCCGTTTGGTCCCCATGTGTTGCCTGATCTAGTTGAGAGGTGGCGTCCCTGGCGGCAGGGAGGCTGGATTAAAATGATCTCTAAGGTCCCTTCCAGCTTAGGCCATTCTATGATTCTATTATTCTATGATTTTTTATATCCTTAGACTGCCTTGACTTACATAGTCAGAAAACTAAAGGGTTCTTTTACTTGTAACTTCCAAAAAAATTTAGGCTTCCTTTCAGGTTTTTCAGGATGACTTTTCAGAATTAAATCTGCTTTTATATAAATGTATTTTCCTGACATACATAATACATGTACAGTCTGTACCTCCATAATGGTTTTAGTAGCAATAATTAATATTTTTACACACAAATATGAAAACACCTAAAAATACTGCAACATTCTTTGACAAAAAGTGTCTCTTCTAAGTAAAGACCCTCTTCCTAAATCTCCCTCACATTCAGTTATTTACAATAACTGTCAGCAAAACCCTTGTTCCGTTGAAAGTCAGTGCCAACAACTTTGACTGATTTCAGTGTGCCCAGGATTTCACTTCATTGTCCTATGAAATTGTCTGATTTTTCTAAGGAACTGTGAAATCATTTGCCAATTTAAGCCAAATATGACCGAGTGCTTGCGGAATATCAAAAAGATATGAAACCTGAGGGTTTCATGAAAAACACCGATAGGGTATATAGAAAAACCCAAATTAGGTCCCACCTCTGGGATCATGTTGGCATATCTGTCTGGCCAAACAGCACACACGTGACTTAAAACCAGTTACAGCGTGTGTTGCCTCCTGCAGAGCCAGGGGTGTAATACAAATCCATAGGGAATTAGTCTTAATTTGGCAACCAACCTGCTTCAGATATATAACGGGCTTCAGCTGTTCTGAGTGCACAAGAACCATGCACACTTGCTGTACCGGCATGAATCACAGGTAATCAGTGTCCCTCAGTCCTCTCCAGCTCATATTATTGATCAGTGTAGCAACCTCATCCCAATCTCATCTCCAGGTAAAATTCCTATTTATATCAAAGGAAGATGAGTGTTCATAAAGACAGTGACCTGTACCACCCTCGCCTTTCGTTATTTAAGGCTATTGTTGAACTTGTGTTTAATGCTACATGTATTTTCAAGTTCTGGTGATTGGGGAAAAAAAGGTGGAGTGTGTAATTATTTGCTGAAAGGGGGTCTTAATGAAGAAAAATATATATGAAGTTCCTCAAGCCTGAATAATTTGTTCTGAAAATATGCATGTCCACAGGATCCCCAGCAATGCTCTTATTCTTTCCTTTCTGCAAGGGTAGACAGAGCACATGCACAACAGTTACTCTCACCTGCATTATGTTAATGTACGCATAATAGCTTACTAACCACAGTTAGCGTTAGTGCTTTAGCTGTAATAATGTTCAAGCCCTTATTCTGATACAGGCAAACAAAATGAGGAAAGAAAAAAGAGCACTTTTACTTTGAAAATATGATGTCTTTTATAGCCCTTCGCCTTCCTGCTATAGTGCAAGAACATGCCTGTTGATTTTATGGGATAGATAGCAAAATATCCAAAATATCCGAAATATGAAGGCAAGAGCTGTAGCAATTTTCCGTTTCTCCACTTATCTACTCCTGAATGTAAAGTCTGTGTTCAGGCAACAGCATAAGTTGTTCTATACAGTGTATTTATTTCTGTTTTCCTAAAAAAAATCTGACACCTGCCTGAAATTTCCTATGGTAGTGAGTGAGTAGTATCAAATATTCTAACAAAAAAAAATAGTTAACATTTAAAAAAACAAAGATAAGGGCACAGTTTGTTTTTATATATAAATACATATACTTATTACATATATATGCACATAACTGTATTGCTCTGAAAAATTCCTGATGTTCTCAAAACCCACAATGTAAATCCTCATTCTTTATACTACAGTTTATAATTCTCCTCTAATAAAAATCCTCTTGCCTGACAGACTCCATCCATCGTCTTCTGAACTGAAGTCACTTTAAACCTACTCCTAAACATGTTACTTATGTGAGGTTTTCCAGGGAATTCAACAGGTGTAGTCATGAGGACAAAATGAGCAGAAATGCCCCATTAAGTTAGCAGCAGTGATTTCTGCAGTGCAATGAGGTCCAGGTTTTCTACTTCCATTTTCCCACTGAGCAAGTATGTTATCTTTATGGGTTACCTGAACTACTGTACAGAAACGAGAATCCTAATATGACCCTTGAGGCCAGATCTCCCAGATAGCAACAGAAGAACTAGTTCTATTACTTAGCTTTTATTGTGATCTCAACACACCCCAGGAGCTAAATATCTGGAGATGTTCTTTTGCCAGTCCAACAGTCCTGAAGCAAGCACCGTGTACAACAACACTTTATAAAAAGGCCTTAAGGTTAACTTACACACAACAGCATTTCTCATAATGCTATATGAACATGGAAACATGTCTTATTTGTATGATGTTTACAAATACAACAACATGATTAACTGTAAACTTGTCTCTCATGTATAAGAGTGTGCACCTCCTACCATCATATCCTTTGGGGGATATATCCCTGGATTGCACCTTGGGAGCTATGGCTCTCTTGCCATAGGCATGGTTGTCATAACTGTTATATTCAAACGTAGTCTTAGAGTATTTCTCTAGTTCCTTGGCCAAGTTGGAGCGGGGTGTGGTGGTGGGGACATTGTTTCTGTAGCCATACTGAGGGATCTCCAATTGCTTAACAAAGCACATGGGCCTAGAAATTAAAGATATGTAAAGTTTGTTAGATGCAGTTCAGTTTACTGTGTCTGTGCATAATTTATAGTTCAGATTAGAAAATCTTAGTTATTTCTTGTAGTCAAGAGACAGCAATATATTATTGCATTTGCTTAGTTTGGTTATTTTCAGCAGACAAACAATATATATTTTCTTGAACAAAGCCTAGGCAAAATTAATTCTTATACCACTAAACGTATCCTGTAGCTAGAAGTATTTTAAAATTCTGGTTTAAAATATTTCAGGTTTTCCCTTTCCCCATGTAATTGCACCACACAGCAAATACTTTCTCTTCTGGGAGGTGAATTAAAGAGCGGCAAGCAGACTGACAGAAGATATTTTGACAAATTCCTTTAAATGTCAAAAAGAAAAAATAGCATTGGAAGCTCCAGTTAATTAATGGAGTTTCTTCTGAATTTCTTTCAACAGAGTTGTAAGCTGTTTTCCTGTATGCTTTCCAAAGGAGCTAGTCCTGTTTTATCCCTCAACGTACAAATCCATGTTCATCTTGAGAAATACACAGAAGAGCCTCACAATCTCTGTTGACTTTGAGCTGCTGCCTCACAGGCCCTGCTCAGCCTTAAATGCAAGGTTCTGGCAAGGAGCTGCAACTCCTGATACACATATACACAGCTCAAAGAAGGTCCTGCAAATGAATACAGAATAAAACTGTATCAGCTAAATTTCTCTTTCATTTAGGATCAGGAAGAGTAGTCAGGAAAAGCCCTGACCGATTTCATTTGACCATTGGAGAAACTTGTGAAATCTCGGTGAAAGAATGCTGTATTGAATTCCATCGTCATGTTGTCTTCTGCATGTGGACACAGAAGTCATCAGCTCTCAAAGCAGGTAAATGGAGGTCAGATCCTGCAAATCTTACCTACACAAGAAAGTGTTAGATGACTGGGTCATAAGGAGCAACTGCTACACAGCGCTGCATGTCTACCTATTGCGTTAGCTAGAAGCAAAGATGATAAACAGCACACCTGGGGTGCTTCTGCTGGAATCAAGAATCATACAATCAAGTCTTTTTTTTTCCTTTTTCTTTACTCAATTTATAACCAGAGGAAATGGAAGGAACTTTCATAGGAACATAAGTTCAGTCAAGACCAGAAGACTGACAAAATGGAATGTGATAAATAGTAAGAAATAGGTTTTGAATATTATCTTTTTCTGAATGAATTCATTTTCATAGAATTTAGTCAGGATATTTATGTAAAGATCACTCAAGAAATCATATTAGTCATACTACTCTCTTTGATTTATGTGTGCTTGTTCCTTTAGACACTTCTCCCTCACAAAATACAGTGGGCTTATTTATACAATGAGCTGATATGAATAATATTTTGATCCTGTCTCATGATAATCTATATTTAGCTAAAAAATGCAATCCTGATCCTGTACATTCAATGCAAATCCAAAATTTCTGTGGAACAGAAGTCCAATAATGTCATTTCTTTTAAGTAAGACATTTTAAATGTAGGTGGGATGGAAACTGGGATGAACACAAATATTCAGGATATACTCTTAGAACATCTCTGCCCATCAGTTGCCTGCATACAAACATTATAAATAGCTCTGAAGTTCTTAATCTTAAATACTTCAATGACTTAAGGGAAAAAGAAAAGCAGGAGATAAGATGAAATCATTGTTTTAGTTGCCTATAAAATCTGAAACACAGGGCAGGCTCACAAGTTAAGATTGCAGTGTGGTTTCCTAAGGAGTTTGCCAGGAAACCAGATGCTGCTTTTGAGCAGTTGCCTTCATTGTATGGCACCTGACTTCAGTACGTTCCCTCTAAGAAGCAGTGGTAAAAGCCGCTGCATTTTTTATCTGTCTTTTTCCATTGAGAGAGAAATTGTGTTGTTCCCTCAAAGGGTGCTTTTTACTAATAGGATTTGAAGAACATTTCCCTAAGAAAATTGTCTGGGATGCTATATGAAGAATTGTATGATTTGAATTAGGGGCAGTTAAGACAAAGACCATCAAAAACAATCTGAGGAAGGAAAAAGAAGTCACCAGGCATGACAAAAAATGTTCTGTGGCTGCAAGCTCTAAGTCTGTGTTCTTAGCTCTATGGGAAGACTGGTTTTTGAGAAGACCGTCAAGATGAGATGAAGCCTTAAGAGAATATTCAAAGAATTATGTTGATAATACAGTAGAAAACTTTAAGCAGCCCTATAGATTTTAAATCTAGAAGATGGCTAAATACTAAGAAACCTATGTGATAAGTAGGAAATTCTGGGAACTAAAGCTGCGGCACTTCCTCCACGCTCTTCAAGGCAGCTGGGAGGGATGTACCTATCCCAGCCCACAGATATCGCAGTATCCATGGAGAAATTCTGCAGCTCTTGGGGCATCATCAGCATAAGGCTGGTACAGTCATGCAGAAGTCTAGTTCTTTTACATGTATCCTTCACACTTCAGCTCCTCAGAAATAATATTTTTTTTTCCACCCGCATATCTCAAAAAAGGAGATAATAGCGACAAAGCTGGGATGCAGCTTTGGATAAATGCAGAATCCTGTATGGATGAAGATAAGGCGTATAATTATGTGAAATTGGCTCAGGGTCCTTCCTGTATGAAAATATAGGACAATTTCCCTCTCTTTCTATCCTTCCTGGCAGTGAGTGGGGGAACAGAGAGAAAGAACTAAGCCTGACTTTATTTTGGAATCTAATCTATATCGAGCATTTTGTCCAAGTGTCCTGCCAAAAGATGTACTACCAGTCTGGTAATGCAAATAGGGCTTCTGGTTTAATTTAAACTGATATTTACTAGTAAAAGCCTGCTGAAAAAACCAAGACTTACCGGTAAATATTAGTTTATTCCCCAAAGATACCAACTTTTTTTCACACTGTTCTTAGACTTTGCACTCCAGCAGTCATCTTTACACCAAACAATGCCTAAGACAAAAATGAGCTTTTCAGCTTTACATGTATTTGCCAAAATGTTTACCAACCCTCCCCCATGTAAGTTGAGTGGGAAATATACACTGTGAGAACTGGATCCAGAAGCCCTAATTCTAACTCTTCTTTAAAGGAGATATATATGTATATACAACGTATATAAATATAAATTCTCAGATTAGGTGAACGTGTGATGAATTCTGCATAATAATAAGTATTATAGTGATTTCTAATACCTTAAAACCCGATCTGATGCCTGGTTTGATTTTGACACATCACAGTTCTGATGCTTCTCTTGAGCTTTAGCCAGTTTCTCTGCTGCAGCAATAGGACATCCAGAGAGGCTGCAATTACAGAAAGGAAATTTAATTGTCTTGTCCTGGGTAGTTTCACAATATAGCACTGATCCAATTACTCCTTCTCCTCCTTAGCCAGCATCAGGAAGAATCTGAAGGAAAAGAGTTTCCAAAAGCTTTTTGGTCATATGTATTTTCTCTAGAATAGACTTCCTTTCTTCTGCTTTCAAAGTTGCATGGTAGATCTTACATCTGCTCTTCTTCTCTGACTGCACATGGGAAGATTATTCATGGATGTCAGCCAGTGAACATATCAGTAGGAGAGGAGAAGATAAACTGGAATCTACTGTGCAGCTCTGCTAGCAGACTTCTGACCTTTATGCATCAACAAATGTTGCCAATGAAATGGCTCCTGAAGACAGTTAAATGACACCACCGTATAGGACAAATTTTGCCCTGCTTCACACCTCATTCAGCTCCACTAACTTCAATCTTTTTGGTAGGCATATATATCAGTGCAAAATTTGGCCTTGGATCTCCAAATCTACATCTTGACTACACTACCCTTAGTGTTTGTTAATGAATTTCAGCCACTAAAGTATGTTTTCTAGTAGTAGATGATGTAACATGCAAAGAATTTCTGCACTTGAATCAAAATTCAATTAAATTTGCAAATGCTGAACTATTATTGAAGTGACAATAATAAGCCTGATTCTTCTGGAAAAGATTTAGAACAGAGAGAAATAAATATATTGATGCCAGCAGATGGTGCTCTTAGTGAAGCTGTAAAAATCTGTGACCTGACAATGGAGGGAGTCCTCTCCTTGTCACAGTCTATTGCGTGCTTATGTGACCGCAGCTCTCTCTGTTCTCCACAGGAAAAGAAATTAAAATGAAAGGCAAATCACTGCATTCCCAGATGTTCCCTTCTCTACAGGAAATAAGGGGGGGGGAAGAGTAAAAAAACATGAAGCAGAGCAAAATGCCCCAAAAGCTGCAGAAAGAGGCGAGTACAGACTGCAGACTGCTTGCCTCCAAGCCCTCCCTCGCTGCCCTAGTTCTGCTGAGGGGTGAGGGGGCTCTGTAGGGTTTTGGAGTCATGCCAGAGGGCAGCTGTGCTCCACTGACATGCTCTTCTTCAGACACCTCAGATATTCTAGCAGATATTCAACCAGAAGTGAACGCTGCTTCAAGCAGCATTAATTCCCATAAAGCCTTCTCAGAGGATTTTGCTGCATTTACTGGCAGCATCACTGCGGAGAAGAAAGGGGTACCAGAGTTTATTGCAGATGGATTGGTACCCACAAGAGTCTTCTAGGAGACATGCAGTTAATATGAGGGGCTCTAGTAAGCCAGAGCTCGACTCAATAAGACTGAATGTCCACCACCTGTGTAGTCCCTTAAGCCTTCATGCTACAATTAACAGTAAAAAAGGAAATCAATAATAGGAACCTTGCACAGTTCCTTTTAACCCTCTTACATTCCCTGGATTTTTTAAAATTGCAAAGGAATAAGCAATATCTTGGTGTTCTTTGGGAAAATTATAACATGTACTAAAAATTACAGCAACATTTTGATAATTCTGTTATTTGCTTGACAGAATTTAACAGGCATTGACATCCCTTCTGTAAGAATCTATTACTAATCTTACAAAACTATAAAGACTGGGTTTTTTTCTTGATCTTAATCTGGCTAGATTATTTACATGTAACATTTCTGGCTTCTCATTTTTATATTTAATGAGACATTTTCATAACTTTTCTTAAGCAGGCAAAACTCTCATTCAGTTTTGGCTGAATAGGGACTTTGAGGTTGAGACTGTGGAGAGTAGGAAAGCTAGCTCTTACAATGTCTGTGTACTTAAAATGCCATTTCTCATGTATTAAAAAAAATCATTTTTAGGAGTGGATGCACTATAAAACAAGCCATGAAAAGAGCGAAGTGTGAGATCAAGAACTCTGCCCTAGCCCTGATGATGTTGACAGACTCTGCCTTCCCCCTGTGACACACCTGTAAGGAGCCGTACCATTTGTTTCATACCACTGCCGTTCAGCTAACATCAAAACAAAAAAAAAACAAAATCCACCCCAAAAAGCTAAGGATGCTTCAAATGTTTTCTGTGGACCAATACATCCGTAATGAAGCAAATGCACACTCGTCCTCCTCAGAAAATACATGGATAAATGTTTCTCTTTCAAATGGATAAAGCACACAAAGCACCATCTGTCAATCTTCAGAACAAAACAACGAAACACACACTCACACACCCCCGCCAATGGACTGCTAGAAGGGCTGCAGTTTGGAGGCACTGTTCCCTCTAGATAGGCGTCCAGCGACGGCATCCTTACCTTCGGTGGGAATTCCTGTTGCTATTTACGTGGCCCCGGCCTGTGCAGCCTGGTGTAGGACACTTAAGAACATTTTCATGCATGGCAAGAACTTGACAAGGAGAGTAAGAGAAAACAGCAGAGTATGAAAACAAGAAAAAAAAAATCAAATCCCAGTATATATGAAACCATTTTAAAACAAAGCAGGATTCATTAACAACCAGCATTCCTCAAAATACACGTGACATAGCCAATAAAGCCTGATGAGGGACGTAAGTATTGCGGCCCTATATGCTCATTAACACAGGGCAACAGCAAAAGTTAGGAAGGGTCACAGAACCTATGAACAAATACATCTCTGGTGCAACAGTGAAGCAGAAGCCTTCCAACATCTTCGTCATACAAAAGCAGTGAGCAAAGATCAGCTCAACTGTAAAAGGTGACCTAGCACCGGTCCAATACAAAAATACAGACTAGAAAAGATCTGTCAGGAAATGTATGTATTCATAATACATAGCTTTATACACACAGTATCAAACTCGAGAGCTGAAAATCTTCTCTCCAGTTATACTGGCAGAACACTGAATTACTTGAAACGCACCTCAGTACAACCCTGAACAGAATTTAACCCTAACTGTAAGATGCCAGATTGAGCTAGGGGCCAGTTCTGCCCACTTCCACATAGATGTATCATTCATATGTATATGGTGAGCAGAACCAGTTCTGTAATTTGTACTCGTATTCTCTACAGATGTAAAAATTGCAATGGATAGAATTTTTTTTTCCAAAGAGTAAAAACTAAAAGTAAGCACTTAAAAAATTGAGGGATGGTGGGAAAAAAAAAAGAGAGAAAAAAGAAAACTGTGTAAAAAAGAAATAAGTGATATAAGCTTAAGCAAGTAAACTGATTTACATCTGCATCCATTGCAAGCTGGATGGAAAACTTACTCCCAAGGATGCTCAGAAATTACTCTAAATCATAGAGCTCATGCTATGATTTGTCAAATTATTGAGAACTTTTTGGTAACACTAAAGAGTTTTGTATGATGTGAGACATAGCTGAAACCATGTCTTGGAGCTGAATGGCAGTAGATCATTCTATGGAGAATGGCCATACAGCCCTTGCAAAGTTTTGTGTTTCTGATATAAGAAGTAGTCTGGAAGCCTGTATTTAGTTCTCACTCAAAAAAAAAATTCTAATAAAATCAGTGAATTCCTTGACTGAGTTAAGAACTGAATAAAAGCTGTTAAGAGACTTGACCATTTAACCATGTATACTGATTAAAAGATAACCATCATCATCACCCCATCATCAGTGTACTAAAATGTGTATAGATGCAAAAGATTTACTCTGAAATTCCTACTGTTCAAAGCTGTTCTTGAAACATGCTTCACAAGGCCAACATCACAGGAAAAAAAAAACAACAATGAGCTCACCTTTTTCATTTTAGTAGGTACAAGAGCATGCAAACAGTTTAAAGCTATATTCTTCTTTGATTTACAAAGTCTTCTAAAGCATTTTTATTTATCATTTGTAAAAATGAGAGAACTTTTAGCAACCAAATAAACTTATCCGTGTTTCAGAAAATTACAGGGTCTTGCAAAGCAGAGAAATTGCAACTCTATTTGTTCTACTGTATTCAGAGATCAACTAAGCTAGAGTAAAGTTTCTTAAAGCACTTCCTCATTACTTTACTCCTGGAAGAAGCCCATCTGCCATGAAAGAGGAGACATTTTATGTCTGCCACTCTTGGAGTGCCAATCTGCTTCTGTTTTCCTGTCCTTCAGAATCTCCTGTCCTTCGGAAACTGGGAGTCATTTTAGCCCTGACTCTTTACAACGTTTCCTTTAGGCTGTTACAAACCCATTAAGGTTCGATCTTTAAAGTGCTGAGGGACAGCGGGGATTTTAGGTCCGTAGGCTTCAATGGAATAACTTTCACTACTGTGAAAGAGAACTGGATCTTAGCTAGATGCTTGCCTGGCGTAAATCAGATGACAGTGATTAGTTTCAGCAGAGCTGTGCTAATTCCACCAGCCCAGGAGGTGACTTCCAGAAACGGAGCCCTCTGCCTTCAGGTGACTGTCTGTGAGCTCATATGGGTGAATCTCCTTTGCAGAGAAACCACTGACATGGCAGGAAATTCCACCCATGCGACACAGCAACAACAAAGAAAAGGGGTTGCAAGTTTTTCAAGTACAATCATTCCTGTACAAGACAACAGGGACAAGTTGATGTGACATCAGAACGCAGAAGTAAAGCAGTGCATATCTTCTGGAAACCTTTTTCTCTGTTGGCTGAATACGTCTATTTAAAAATAACCTAGGATTCTTAAAATCAAAGAATACAGCTTTAAAAGTTGTTCTTTTAGTGTAAAAGTTAGTAGAGAATGGAAATGATGGAATAAAGGAAAAAGTATAACACAGAACAGTTGACTAAGTTGAGACAAACCAGACTGAAAAATGAAATTTATTTTTTTTTAAATAAAAGGTTTAAAAAGCATGCTAGAAAAATCTTTGTAGTTTTATCCCCAGTTTCCATGAAACAATGTGAACTTACTTTCTGGAGGGACCCTATCTTTGTGTGGGCATCCTGACAAACTGCGGTGATGGGGGTAAAGCCCCGTTACATGGCCAGTTCCATCACACCCAGGGGTAGGACATTTGCTCTCTTTCTTTTCTGTTCTTGAGGGATCTATAATTTACAACAAATGTGTCAAGTGAATGATGCTTTTCACATTTCTGTAAGAAGGTTCATTTAGTTATGTCATTTACTCTTTGGTAAATGTTCTTATGAAAACTAGAATTAAAAAAGAAACCAACAAACCAAACCAAACAAACTCAAAAAAACCTTCTACTTCTTAACATAGTTCTGTCACTTTTATCCCGTTATCTTCTTTTCAGACTTCAGGCTCCTATGATCACAGCAATATCCATTCTCAGTGATTGGAAAGTGACCTTTTTATAGCAAAGCTATACCACTGTCAATCAAAGTTCTGCTGGCAAGCATCATCTCAAGGGTATAAGGTCACTTGGAAAATGTTTAGTTGGGAATTTCCCTTCTTTACATTCTTATTTGCCTGATATATTAAGGTCTGCAAATGTATTGTCATAGCAGTTCGGTGTCCTGAGAGTAGCAAACCCAGTTCTTTAGCATAACAATTTATAGATTCAGCACAAATAAATCCCTTTCCCAAGGCTCACTGAGGAGACAATCCTTGTTTTCTTTAAATTCCTTATTAAGCAGTAGAAATTATGTAAACATTAATTTCTTTTTAATAAATTATGGTAGGGTAAACATTGTAATCAGAATTATTGTAAGTATCACTTGCTGTGTAAATTTAGGCCTTTACAAACATGCATATATAATGCTTGAATATTCATATACCTAAAAGGTTAATGATCTTCAAGAATGTTGGATCTTCTGTCTACAAATAAATGAAAAGAAAGTCTAAATAGACCTTTTTTCAACAAAATAAAGCTTTCTGCCAATAATGTAGTGAAACTGCTGGTGAGATTGAACCTGAACTAGAACTCTCTCACTTACTTCATCAGCTTGTTTTCTTTAACAGAACATCTGCAAAAGAACATCCCTACCCCTCCAGCCCAGCACATGATACAGATATTATCTTCATGACAGCTGCCAGATTTTGAAGACTATTGCTGATTTTATATTAGTATTAAAGGAATAAAATTCAGGGTACTCTAACTGCTATCATTTTGGCTCAACAACAACGAATATCCCCCTTCCTTTTGTTTAGTCCATCCTCCTTCCAATACCCAATCTGAGCTACCCTCATTTATGGATTTTATGCTGCTCTTGTCATCGCTCTGGTTCAGTATTTATGCTTTCATTTCTGGAAAATAAGATTTTGCTACATGTTTTCCATTAAGTCTTTCCTACATTAAATTCCATCCCAGCTTCAACAAATGCAACCCTCAGTACAATCAGTGGAAATTTCACAACTCGCAGAACTTCACCTGCAACACTTTTTTTGTCCAGCATGAATCAATACAATCCAGAGTTCACATTCAGTTGTGGACATATTTTTCCTTGATTTCCCCCTGGTAGCTTTTATTTTTATACATATATATATATACTTTCACATTCCAACTTCTTCCAAAACACCTTCATTTTAGAGAAATTCTTTCACTCATGGTAATGACCCTCCAAGTCTGACATCCATTCTCAAATTTTAACATATTTAAACGTTGTCTTCTGCAAATGGGTTCCCTAATTATGGAAGTTTTATTTTACTTAACTTGCATGTTGACTGTATAACGTGGTTCTCTGTTTCATGCTTCTTAATGATAAATACGCATAAAAATCTATGTCCAAAGTGCTATACAGTTATCACAACACTCCTTGCAAGACTGTAATCATCTTATGTCAGGAAATTGAAGCAAAGAGATCAAGAAGTTAAACCCAAGGCCACAGAAGGAGCAAATGTCAGAGGAAGGATATGAATTCCTGCCAGATAGGCCTGTGCTGAGACCACTAGAACAGCAAGCCCACAGCTACATACATACACAACTCTAAGCAACTCTTCAAGTCAGGTACTTTGGGATGTGTAAAATTATTAGATAAGTGAATAAGTAATGTAAATGAAATAAAAATTATGTAAATATAACAATATTCAAGGACTGCAAAAAAAATGTAGATGATTAATAGACCATAACGGCTTTTTAGAAACTTTAAGCTACTCCATGTTGTCCACATTTAAGCTACTCCACATTGTCAGAACTCCACTGAAGTCAATGAATGTATTCTAATTTAGAGTAGCTGAGGATCTGGACACTTACATCCTACAGTGTCAAGCAAATCCTCATCTGTATTCAAGTCTATGCTATAAAGTTATAGCATATATCAAATCCTTAAGAGCCTTTATGGTCTAATGAGTCAGAAAAGATGCTGTATGCTATTCTTAATGATTTCAAAACTTGTACAGAATGTTACTTGCACAATTTCCCATTGCTTTTAATGGAAGACATTTGACTAGACTTTCCACGACTTTATACAAAACACTGGATACTCTCTTGTAAATCCTTTTCTGCTAATTGGGAGAAATATTGCCTAGTTTTATTTGATTCAGTAACCTTTCCTCACTCCTTGCCACAATGGGAGTATGCCTGAGTGAAGGTTGTCAGAGGCCTCAAAAGGTTTTAAAATTCATAAATTTCAGAAGAAAGCCTGTTTAGAAGGCTTTAAATGGCAGGGAATTAAAAAAGGTTAGTGGTCCCCTAACACTTGTTTCAGTGATCTCTAAAAGCAGAACTCCTGAAGCCAGGAGGTAGTTCTCACTTGCAAACTTATATATCCCAAAAGTTCCCACTTAACTATATCATACATCACTGTGGGTATCTCTTCCAGGAGTATCTGGAAGATAACATATGAGTGGGGAACAAAGGATATAAGCAATTTTCTTACGTAAAGGTTCCTCTCTCAACAACCCCCAGAATGTCTCCTTTTTTTTTTTTAAAGTAAGGAAGGAATATTTTTTCCTTCTTTCTTTATTAAAAGACTATAGAACGATCCACTCCACAAAGTTTCTTGGTCCAAACTATGACAAAATTTAGTCTCGGGCTGGGGTTTGGACCTACTATAGACTCCGCCTGCAGCTCCCAAGAGATAGGATGGTTCAAAGAAGCTCTAAAATTTGCTGAAGTAGGAAGTACATACTTTTGTTACTACCAGAAATTATATAGTCTTTTTGGAGAGAGCAGATTTATATGCATAAGTGCTTTCCCAAGCATACATAGATTGGAAGGGCAGTAGAATATGAGAGTTAAAAAGCTCTTAAAACATTAACCTTGGTTTGTCATGTTTTCTGTGGGTTTATTAGAGACATATATTCAAAGGGAAATGTACCTACAATAGGTGATATGCAAACACCATTTTGCACAATATCCACATGGCTATACACTAATACACTAACTAAAGCTGTTTTCCCCAGATACCCAAAGTTACTACAGCATTCACTGGACTATATATTTGTGTTTAAGACAAACAAAACTTTGCTAAACTACATTGCAGAAGAGTGTTTGACGTAAGCAATTTCCATGTTTTTCTAAAAGACTGGTCATTACTTTTCCTTAAGACTTCTAAAACAAACTTTTGATGGGCCAAGATGTCATCTGCCTACCTGAATGTCACAGGCAGATCTAACTTTTTCAAATAAGGAATTTATAAAAAGGAGAAAAATGCCCACCATCTCAGTTGTAGAAAGGAAAATTAATATTTTTACAACAAAAATAAGATGAACCCAGTCCCTGCTTAGCATCTCCCAAGAAATAGCACGTTCTCAACTTCCACTAAAGTCAATGGGAATCAGGGGTGTTCAATGAGTCTCAGGAGGTATTGAACACTTCATATAACATAGCCCTATGTGTATACATGTAGACAAAGTAAAGAGCGATGTGGTAAACACACCATTGCCATGATAATCCTGCAAATTAAAAGGCATTCTAAAGGCATTCTTTAGTCTGTTCTTTTTTTTTCTTTTTTTTTTTTCCTTTGTTTTTTAGTTTTGTACTGAATTATGGTCAAGGCAGCACCTTAACTGTTTCCACAATGGAATGAAACCAGTGAAGTGGAATGCACATAAGAAAGAAATTGCTATTGATCTCAGCCCAGGCCACACCATGCCTTGCATAGCAAATGGTTTCCATTACCTTACTATCTTAAGATAATTAATGTGCAGTCACTGCCCCTATCTTATGTTATCGGTCATTCTGATACTGTTCAATTTCTATCAGGCAATTCTACATTTTAGATGGGAGAGGCTTCATCAATAACTGTCATTTGATGATAATTTTATAAGTCACGATGCCACCCACTCAATCCAATCTGTAAAATATGCACTTCATAGCTGATTGACTACCTGCTACAAGCCCCCCCACTCTCCAATATAGATTGCAAAGTAATTTTTTTCATTGTTTTTTAATTATTACTATAAAATATATCAAAAACTTGAGAAAAATCTTTGCCTCTTTCAACATGATCTCTTGTTTGTTTCCCTGAAAAGTTATTTTTTTAATTTAGCCAAACGATGTTCACTGAAATACTGTGCATACTTCTAACACTGCAGAATGCATTATTTTATACCGCAGCACGATGCTCTTTTACAATCATGTCATACTACTACAATTTCAATAAAGTTCCCATTTTGAGGAATTAATAACTTCATTTCAAAAATCTATGCAAAACTTAACACGTTAGCTCACACTTTCTCATGACATAACATACGGTATATAGAAATATTACCTTTACCATAATATGGCTTTTTGACATGGCCGTCACTGGGTTTAGGCTTCCTGTCATCTCCAGAAAGGTGTCTTGGAGACTGTTCCTCAAATGATCTCATATTATCCCTCCTTCCAGCATCCACTGCCATTTTTTCTCTCATGGCTTTTGCTCTCTCAGTTTCCAAAGCAATTGCTTTCTCAAGCAGGGTTAAGTTACCTTTTGTCATATCAAACACTTCTTCAGACCTATCTGAAGTAATAGAGGTGGTATCATCGTCTCTTTCATGACAACCATCCTCCTTTGCACAGCTAGAAAAAGTCCTAGATCTGGGGCTCAACTGTTCTTCAAGTCTCATTAGGTTCATCATATCAGAATAATTCCGGTCTGGTGTTCTTCCTTGGAAGTCATCTTCTTGCCTGACATGTTGACGAGTGTTCATGTTTTGCTGTTGATTTCTTTCCTGTGGGTTTGTCTCACTGAGTTTCCTAGCCAGATCAAAACACTGGTTCCTTAAGCACTCCAAACTGCTGAGACACACCTCTTCATCACTCTCCTCCACCATTTTTTCTGTAAGTCCATTGTTCACAGGCTTCCCTAGCATTACAAAGTTCATATTCCTATTGTCTTGCTGTGAAGTATTGTCTGCATAATTTCTGTCATTAATGTTTTCTGAAAGAACTACACCATGTCCTTGTGCTAATAATTTAAGGGAGTCCACTGTTTCCCTAACAACATCACTGTCTAAATCTAAACTCAGCTCACTTTTCCGACCAATATTTTCATTTTTGTCACTATCATCTTCCAGACTATTAGATGTATTGCTGTTCATTTCTGATTCTGTCCTGGCTCTGTATGCTGCATCCTCTGCAATTTTGCCAAGATTTAACAATGACTTGGCCACCAGTTCATCGTAATTATCATACTCATCATTATTGTTATCGTCTTTTTCTGTGTCTTGCATTATTCGAGTATTGTGACAATTCATTTGATGGTCTTCTGCATAAAAAACAGAAACAAAGAAAGAAACAAAGAAAGAAAAAGGAAAAGAAAAGAAAAAAGTGGCTACAATTGGAACTGTTGTTGCAATCGCACGGACAGAAAACAAACTGCATGTCAAATATTGTTAATCATACAGCAATTCTATAACACTAAGGCCCATGTGAAGTGAATTTCTCTACAGTCCATAAGGCTATTTTTGTTTATTTCCTATTCACATGTATTTTTTTCACAGAACCGATAAGAAAAAGGCAATCAAAATGCTAATTATTACTGTTCCTAAATATTTTGGCATAAATACTTATGTTTCTCTTTTCACTTCTAGATTTACAGTTTTATGGGGTTTATTATAATCATGTTACTAATATGACAAAATTGCCTATGTTTTCAACTTTTCTCATTCCTGTATTTCCAGTAGTTATGGTAGATGGCAAAGGAGTGAGTCCTACTGGATTTATTCTCTTCTCTGATGAACGCCATTCACCAAAAGAGAAAGAATATACACCAAGCAGGGAATTGTCGCTTTTTTAACACCATACACACCATTAACACTAGATAATCAATAACTATATGCAAAGATCAAAATGGAATTTTACTTAGTGGATCTGCCAGTAGAAATCAAAATCTCTCACTTTAACTATGTAAACTGTGGAGAAGTAAGAATTTTAGAAGAGTTGTTACATGAAAGGAAGACAGAAGCAATTATATGCACAATATAATTTAAGTCAATATGCTAGCCCAAATTATATGGTCATACATGTGTGATAGGGCTCTTATCTACTGTCCTGTGTACTGTAACATAATGGTGCAGAGTTACCACATTTTATTTAGCTTTAGTTGAATAACAGAGGGACAACTTAATAAGATGGAGCTGATGTGAGGCCCTGAGGGTGAGATTCATCTCACCTAACTTTAGACATGAGCAAGGCAAGCATCTCTATCCGAGTAAGCCATTCGGTGTTCCCATCCTCAGTCATTAAGAGAAGCAGACACTTGAAGGATACGCTCCACCTGATCTGGTTAAGATATCTTCTTGAGAATAACATTAGTAACTACTAGAAGTGCCTGTTTCTTCTCATTGACAACAAAGGGAATCAGACTAGATGCCCACCTTAAAGATATCCGTATTTGGTCAGATGAATATCATCCAGAGAGCAGTTTCTGATATCTCACATTCACTCAGAAGTTATGTCATTCTTAGACCCATTCTTAATATATATACACATTCATCATTATTTACTAATGAACGTCTCCTAAATTATATTTTGATAATCAGCTACTCGAGCAATATTTAAATGTTTTGCATCACAACTGGAAAAGAAAGTTCCTAAATCTGTCATTACACTGACATGCTAGGCCAATTTTTCAGCTGGTGCAAACTGAAAGAAACCAGTACAGCTAGGGCGATTAACGCCTGCTCAAGAGCTAGTCCATCAACTTCTGATAGCATCTTTTCAGCTCAGATGTATTTTCAACACTGGTACACACACAGCATTTTCTAAAGTATGACTTTTATGTTTTGGGTTAAACAAACCAAAGCGAAAAATTTCCAGTAGCCGGTGGCTTGTACAGTAGTATTTTGATGATAGAAAATATTTTTTGATAAAAATATTTTTGTCAGTGGACAAGATAATAAATCAGACTTTTAAACACAAAGCTCAACAGCACAATAATTAATATTTCAGCCACAAGATAGTATTCCTTCTACACAGTGGTTAGGGATCCTGGGATGATAGTAGGCTGTAGTTAAGCAGCAGAATTGGTAGATGACTAGGCTATGTCTAGAGGAAATAAATGCTCTAATGGTAAAATATTATATTATATATATATATTACCTACTTGAATGCAGTGAGAAGATAATTTATAGGGAAGGATGTATGGTATTTTTACATGACAGGATATTCCAAGTCAATAGTGGTTTAACTATTTTATCATCGAAGGCGGTTTTATTTTAGCTGCTGTTGTTTTCAGTATAATCATAACTCATGTTTACATTTTAGTCCCTCAAAAATAAAGTGTATCACAGTATCAGATTTTCAGTGTAAAAGTAAGGAATGCCACTTACACTTCTATTTGAAAAATGTCCGTCCTGAACAGCTGCATAGAAGTAGGCAGTTAAGGATTAATGGATAATTAGTTTGTGCTCTTTGAAGAGCAAATGTTTTAAAATACACTAATAATAATTTTCTAACGTGAAATGTACAAACAGATCCCACATTAATTTAAATATTAAGGATAAAACCTGATGCCAACAAGATTATTCAGTAGAAACTGCTGCTTTTCAGGGCTGCTTCTTGCAACTGTGTCAGATGTAGCAGATGGAACACCAAAGTAACTAAAGAAGCCTCAGCTATAGCTCCGATGTTGCCAGTGACTTCAAGTTTAGGATGGGACATCTACAAACACTTGTAAGGTAAGTCCAAATCTAGCTCTACAGCACACAGAAATAAAGAGTAGCAAAGGAAAAACATATTTTCTCAAACCATCCTGAGAACTGTTCAGGTACACAGTGACTATTGTAGGCCAACTTTTGAAATGTGAAAAGTTTCAGGGTTTGCTTTTTTAAAAAGGGGGGTTGTGGTTTTTTTCACATGAATGAAAGTCATGGAAATGATCACCAATGGGAAGAATACGTTATACTTTGCCTTCACAACAGTGAAAAGTCAAAATATGAATCACGTACTGTTATGAGTGAAGACATGTAAATTCCTTTTGAGTAGGTGAAGCTGGGTGAAAGCTGTAACTATAATATTTTTTATTCTGTTTGTTTGGTTATATCCTTTTCAGTTCTCCTGCCCGTTCAATCCTAAAAAGAAGAAGAAAAAAAAAAAGTGGTGGAGGAGAAGAAAGTGTAAAGCATGAATCTCGGATGAGAGGGGCAGGAAAACAAAATATTTTAATCAACTTCCATTCCTCCTCTTTTAATTTTTGGCCTTTTGTGCATTTACTTTCTTGAACAACTATTTATGCTCATGTTTCTTATCTCCATGTAGTAATTAATTTTAATGAAAAGCATATTCATGTATACTAGGTCATCTCCTCAACAACAGTCTATTGGATGCTCAGCATGCTCTAGTGAAGTACCTGTGTCACCTGTTTATTAAACTGAAATTTTAAGTAGTCAATTAGTTTGTGTATTGGTTAAGGGTGTTCTGGAAAATATGTTAGCCTAGCAGCTCTACGTGAACCTATGTGACTTTTCTTCAGTTCAGCTTTGTGAAATCTGATCTCACTTTCATTTCACATTTCTATAATTCATAAGGTTTAACCTTTAACTTGGTAACTAACTTTACACTGTTCTGTTGAATGGCTGTTGGTTAAATGACTGCAAAACATATAGGACTTAAATACCTACCCTACCCTTTACATTAAGTTTTGTAGCCACTGACCCGAACTGCAGTTTTTTAATCTTGTGAAGAGGCTGACTTTGTCTACAAAAGACACAAGTTAGCCAGTTGCGATGAAGAGTGCCCAAAGTTATCATATATCCTTTTTCTGTTAGCTTTAAGCTTTTGAGGACAAGGAATATGTAACACAATTTTAAAAGCTGAAAAAGACTATAAGACTATTTTAGCCCACATCTACACAAGACTATGACAATTTAGTATTCTTGATCACAAAATTTCTTCTTTTTAACTCCCAGCAGATCTAACAAATGACAGGAGGGAAATTACAGTGAAGAGTACGTGGAATAGTTTTGAAGAGCTGGAAGCCTTTAGCCATCTCAACAGAAGTGCTCTCTTGTATTCCACCTTTCATCCAAGGATCTCAAAGCACTTTACAAACATTATTTTAAAAAGCCTCACAACACCCCTGTGAGGTAGGTATTTTAACCCCATTTTACAGATGGGAAATTGAGACACAGAGAAGTTGAGTGACTCTTTCCATGTCATACCAAGAGTCATTGGAGAATAAGGACTAGAGCCTCTATGTCCTGGAGTGTTTCCTCCCTTTGTTCCTGTGACATCCGTATTTAAAAAAATTTTTTTCAGAAGAAATGGCTTGCTGTTTTTAGTGTAGGGAGCCATGCAAAGCAGCACTTTTTTTTTTTTTTAAATACAGAGCATTAAGTTTGAGAGATTCTGCAGAGAGAGGCAATGATACTTCAGTAATAGCAGCTAAATTCCTAGCAAAGGCCAAAGACTTCAGCAACGAGGCTTCCCAAATCTGATCTGTGTATCAAATTGCTCACTTTCTCCCAGGTATGGGAAAACATGATGGCTAACAAGCTGAACTTATATGTGGTCATACAGGCTTCCTGCCCAGATGTATCGTTTCATTATTGAGGCAGCACTGCCTGTTTTAAAACACCTCACCACTCTTGCTGCTGCCACTTGTCAGTTCCTAGGTGCTCAGCATATGATACTACTGCATCACTATTTTTCTTCTAAGCTGTAATGCAGGTGCATGCACACATCTCCACATTACAATGTACAGTAGCTGGCCTCTGAAAAATATTTAGCAAGACAAGGTTAGCACAAATGAATCCTAAATCTTCAAAAGTTACAGCATCGTATGGGGCAGGGGATGGCTTGCACGCTGCGTTCAATTTTGGAATAATCTTATGAGAATGGAAACTGAAGAGACAGAAAACTTAGTGAGCTCTCAAGAACTTCTCCACACTGAAAAAATAGAGCACAGATACAACTCTCTGGGGGCCTAGGCAAGGTCTCTAAAAGTCTGAACTTTCCCATTGGCATGGGATTTGGAGCCCAAGCCTTTGAATACGCCTATTTCAGGGATGCACTGAACACTGAGGTTGACCATGTGTAATTCTTTCCTCATCTGTGCAAAACTTCCTGAAATTCTTTTACACTGTAAGTAAACTTTAGGTAAAGACTCAAGTGATTTAATTTTACAGTAGTTGATTCCTTTATGGACTTTATGTTACCTAGAGAAAGTTAAATGAAAAAGATAACTTATTTACTTGATGCACTCCATTATATACAAATTTTCTTTTTCACTTTTCCCCCTCAGCCTGCTACACCCACTTATAATAG